GTTGGAGATGGTCTGGTCAGTATCATCTGGCAATGGTTGGAAAAGTTCTGGTGATTGCCAGGTGGCGAGACACCCACGAAAGTAGATGTGGGGGCAAAAGATCCTGAGGTGTTGTAGTTCATGATCTGCATGATGGAGGACAACTTTGTCGCCCAGGAATCCCAGGAATTCTTGCAACTGTTTGACTGATCTGGCTGTGAAGCGATCCTCGTGGTGGAGGTGGAGGTTGTGGTGGTTCCACTGGATGGTAAGAAAAGAGTCGGCGTGGTGGGATAAAGTAGTCGGGAGTCCATGATGTCGAAGCCATTTGATGAGGTTGCGCCGGACAGTGTCGAAGTAGCGTTGCTTGGTTGGAAAGAAAGTGCTGTTCATGTTGGCGTTCAAAAATCGGCGGAGGTGGACTGGAAGTTGTAAGTCTGCGAGGGTGACGATCAAATGGTCACCAGTGAGTCATCGTAGGTAGGTAGAAGGAGGTTGCGAAGATGATCGCATCCACAAGGAAGTTGATCGAGGTCAGGGGGGCTGCCCAACAGTGTTTCCCATCGCGGGTGGTTGTGCAGGCGACTGCGTAGTGTGGGGTGGGCTGCTTCACGTGCTCAGCATGTGGGGAGGTGGAGGGGAATGGCAAACTGTTTGTGGTGATTAAGGAGCTGGGCTAGCCAGCGTTGAATGTCTGGCTGGAAGCTGGGGTGGGCTAGGAAGGGGATGGTCAAAGGAAGGTTGCTCTTCGGTGGGGTAAGATTGCGAAACTTCAAAGCTTGGTTGAGGAGGTGGAGAGCTCGACTGCGTCCTGGTTCTTCAAGGCCGGTGGCCATGCGACGGATGGCGTAGACTTCAAGGTCTGTGTACTTGCCTGATCGTAGATGATGGGCGGCGTCGAAAGATGCTCGTGTGTTTGTTGAGGTCCCGTAGGACGGTGAGTGCGTGTAGTTTGTGTGAAGTGTGAAATATATGGGTTGGACAGTGGAATGTAGACGTCGTCGTAGTCGTCGAAAGAGGCGGTAGTGGTTGGCTAGGCGTGGAAAGAAGTGAGCTCTGTGTCTGCTGAATTGCCAGCCGTCTGCTTTGAGTTTCAGGTGCTGTGAGATTTAGGGCCAGTTGAGTCTAGGCTGCCATCGGGAGATGTACAGGTGTTCGTGGAAAACTGGTTTATGGTGTTGGCTGCATGCCAGTAGCGAAAGGAGAGTTCGGCTGAAATGGGGGTGTTCTTGGCTAGTTGCTTTAGTTTGCCCCTGCGGTTGTGTTCCCTGCCAGGTATGCCGATCGCGGTGGAGCCCACATAGCAGTGGCCGTGTTGGTGGTAGCATCGTTGTGTGTCGTGGGAATTGAAGAAGAGCTTGACGTAGACTCAGTTGGGGGCAAGGAATTGGGAAAAAGTGTAGTGGTCTGGGTGGATCCGGAGCTGTAGAAAGCGTGTGCGCCATTGTTTGGCGCGGTAGGTAGTGGATGGGAAGTAGAAAATGGCCGCCAAATGGAGTAGTCCCACCGCATAAGTGGCCTCAGCTCGTTCGATGTATTTGGCGTGGTGGTGTATGTGAAGCAAGTGCAGCGTAATCGCGCTCCTTTTTTCGCACAGTCAGCGGTTGGTATCACAAAAAAGACTGTGGTGGGGTCGCGTTGCATTCCCAGGCTTGCCACGGATCACGACGTTGTCCGGATGGATGATGTAGCGTTTTCCTTTGTCATGCTTTACAACTCCATGATTAGCCGCGAGAAGGCGTTCTCCTTCAGATTCACCTCCCTGAGTAAATTTCTTGCCGGTTCCCCACGCCATGCAGTGAAGAATGATGCCTGCTCGGTTCTTGGCCATCTGGCAATTCTTGTCGATGACTCGGGCTGTGTGCCACGCGTCGTAGATCATCTTCCCGGTGGTTTCGTAGCCTTGGGCAAAGAAACCTTAGGCATGGGGGGAGTGCTGTGTACTGGGCTTGAAGCGTCCGGACTGAAGGAGATTGAGTAAGTTGCCCTCTTCCGTAGCGTGGCGTGCGAACACACGCACAGTGCCATGTTGGGTGGCAGTCTGGTTGCGACGATGAGGAATGTGGTCGACTCGATTTGTCCTGGAGGCGAGGGATTTAGAGAGAAAAGTACTTGGTGGCGGTATATATCCATTGGCGTCATTGTCCCACTCGGAATGGGTCCACTGCTCGAGATCCTGAAGGTCCTTGGCAAGGATGCCAGCGTTGGTGAGGACCTTGGCGACAGTGGGTGTGACTGGCATTGTCGTGATCGGCCTTGGTGTAGGGATTGAAGGGCCGTCGATGAGGCTGCGCGGCTTCGATGCGTGTGCTGCTGGCAACATGCATGCCCTTGGGGCGTGTGGTGGTTGTGGGATCTGGGGCGGAGCTGGAAGGAGTGGTATGCTGGGGATTGGGGGTGAGTCGAATGTTGGAGCGGCGAGGGGATCGAGAGCTCTGGTGTTTTAACTGGTCAAAGGCGGTGGAGCCCAAATGTTGTGCTTGGGCGGTGGACCTGCGGGCGGTTGGGGTTGGGTGGAGGAGGGACGTTGTTTGGGACCAGGGTGGCTGAACTCTTGGGAGTCGTGGTAGAAGTGGTGGTAGTAGTGGTGGTAGTCGATCTTTGACGGACCGCGGCTTTTGGTGGTGGTGGTGTTGGTGTGGTGACTGCGAGTGATGGCTGTTTGGGTGGCGGATGCGGCGTGGGGACTGTAATGTGGAGTGGTGGTGGTCGTGCGGCGGCGGTGTCCAGGGCGGCAGGGGGAGTAGGTGTGGTGGTGGCAAGCGGTGGGTTGGGGTTGGTGGAGGTGTGATCTTGAGTCGCCCGTGATGCCTGGAGGTGGGGACGCTGTGGCGGTTGTGGCCTGGGAGGTGCTCAGTGGAGGTGCTTGGGGCTGCCTTGTAGGGGCTGTTGGTGTAGTTGAGATGGGTGGAGGAGTGGTGGCGGGGAGTTGGTTGGGGTAAATGTGTGTGGATGGGTGGAGAATGTTCGGTGGGAGTTGCAGTCAACTGCGTGTGGGTGAGGTGGCCAGTAGGACTGTGGAATCAGGGTTGGGGGACTCCAAGCAGGACATGGGTCTGATTGGTAGGACGGCGTAGTGTATGAAATGTGGAAGGAATCTGAACAAGGTGGGTGTTGGGGATGGGATTCATTTGAGGTGGCAAAGTCGTTGGGGGCAGAGGGGAAGCGTATTGAAGCTGTGGATGTGGTAGAACCGGCTGAACTGGCTGGGTCTGAGGCAATGGGATCTGCATAGTTGGAACTGTGCCGTACGGAATCGAAGGTGCCACCAAAGATGTCGGTTGTGACATAGGACCATAAGGTGTCGGCGCACTTGGTGTAGGGGAGGGCTGAGAAACCCACTGGTAGTTCATGGCGTCGCAGTAGAAGCCGTGAGATAGAGGTGGACAACGACATTGCAAGTGCATGAAGCTCTCGTCGTGCCTAATGTATCGTGCCGGATCCTGCCTAGGATGACGTCTGCTGACAACTGTGCAAATGATTACTTAAACGCATGTGTCATGGTGAGAAAATCCCGAGGTTTTGATCACAGTCAGCCCTGCGGCATAAGATCAGTGGTATCGTGCATCGCTGCCAATCAGTGTCGATCAAACGAAGTTCAGGAAAGCAGAACGGACAATCAGGAGGATTCCCCCAGGATCTGGGTCTGTGCACATGCGGCGCCCCTTGACGGGGATCACTCCACAGCCCTCAGTGGGACCCTGTGGCGAAATACACTTAGATTGTTGCTTGCAAGAGCTAGTATCAGTATGAAGTTCCCCTTGACTTGATTGAAACGGCAAGAACGAAAGCCGAAAGGTGGCTGGGTCGAAGGAGTTGTAGATGTTTAACAATGTTTCTTTGAGATTGGTGAAGCGACGAGTTAAAAATTGGCCTGCAGGTACACGAGAAGGCGTCCCTTCTCGCTTGACAATCTCAAACCACCGTCTTCGTTGGGCAGTGGATGGAATGAGATTCACTGCCCCCCTGCTGCTTGAAATTGGAAGGCACAATGTAGTCCAACGGCAAGTGTCGTAGGTTAGTTATGAGAACCTTGGAAACAGGTGTTGACACACACACACACAGACACCCCGCACAACATACACATCCAACTGCCCGGAGCATCCTCTGCAGATCAGTTCGGGCAGTGCTTACGCTTTACTCTATTATTGTTATTCATTTCTCTCTCAGACTTGCTCAGCAGCCAAAATTGAAGGTTTGCTTTGCTTTGCCAGGTTTTTGCTGGTCCTATTTCTTCTGATTTTGATCACCATAGCTTCGACCACCACCAAGTGACCTGACCAAAGGCACTGATAGTCAATATCCTCAGCATTGAGTTTTCCTCTGAGTTTTTCCGGCTCAACAGCCTGTTTGTGCTCTTGAAGTAGGAACCTTTTGCCTCACCGGTTCATGTTGGTGCTTGGAGGTACTGGACTCATTGGCTCTCCATAACCGTCGTGAGCTTAAAAGCTTGAAAAACTGAAGCGAAAACGAAACAAGGGACAGTGGAGCCCTGCTCAGGTAACAGTAGGCAGCTTGCTGGTTGTGGATTTGATGTTTCTGGAGGAAAAGTGCAAGGCTTAGATTCTTTTCTGAAGAATCATCGGTTAATCAAGCTCTTTGACAAGATATGACTTCGATTAAGAATGGCAAACCATTTCCCCGAGTTCTTTCGTGTTCGACCCCTTTGCTGACGTGCAGAAGATGTAAGAAAAGGCCAGACATGCAGTGCACTGCAGTGGCTGATCACGACCTTGCACGTCGCAGAACTTTTCAGACTTTCAGCGGTCATATTTGCTCCTTTGGTGCTCGGTTTCGCAGCTTTGAATTTTGCTTCCCAGGAAGCCGAATCAGGGTCATCCCATCACATTGACATGCATGTGGCTCAAAAGAAGAAGACCCAGCCACCCACATGTTTCAGATTGTTTTGGTCTGAGTCACTTTTCCCTTTTCTGAGTTAATTATCCCGTATTTTGAGCCAGAGCCACATGGAACCCAAAGGTTTGGAACAGTATGCTTCGGGATGTCTAAAGTAGCCTAAAGTGACAGCAGCGTGATTCTTCAGTTGCCCGTCATGGCTTCGTTGGATTGCAAGTGGCGCGATGCCAAAACTGGCATCATTGGTGCACACTGTTGGCCACAAACACCACTGGTGGGAAGCACTGGACTTGTTAAAACGGTTATGGCACCGGAAGGAGAATAACACGAATAACGCAGGGTTTGCATCATTCTTGTAGACAATTGATCACAGCCAAAGCCAACTCTTGGCAGGACAGGGCCGAAGGCCTAGCAGCAGTTGCTTCCCTATGTCTAAGGCGGCATGACTTGAGAGTTGTCAGCTGTCATTGCAGCCTTTTTTCCCAATTGTTGGCTGCCCAACACAAATTTGATCAAATTTGCTTCTGGATGCATGCTTTTGTCCGACTTGCCGAACGCAAAAGCTGACAGGGCATCAGCTTGGCAACACTCCCTTGCACTATGCCATGCAGAGCCTTCCAGGCAATCCCAGATCCAGATGTGATTGACGTCTAAGCCATGTTTGACAACCTTTGTGACTTGCGGCTTGGGTGGTTTGACCGTGTCAGTTCGAAGCAATCAGTGGCAACCTCTTGGGCATGGGGCAGCCGCTGGCAGCTTGTGCCTTCCTGAGATTTCTTCCGGAGAGTCAAGCAGTATTTGATATACTTTTCATGACTAGCAGCCCTATCTTAGGCCATGAGCCTATGTGCCGATCCGGACACGGCCGCAGCTGTTGTGTCAGCTTTGGGTGAGGCCGCGTCCTGGAAGGCTCCGGATATAGACTCTCATAAGCATAAGCAAAGGAGATGCTCCCGAGATGCTTCCGCGTGTCACTCTTTCATGAAGGCTTTTGGTTTCATAGATGTTCTTTGAGAGGTGGCTTTGAACATGAGTGAATCTTTGAGTTTCTTTGTTTTGGGTTTTACAGGTTGGACAGCCCTGAACGGTCGTCTGCCAGGTTGCTGTGCGTGCGCTGGGCTACTTGACTTTGGAGCCGAAGCCAGCCACACGCATAATGGTTGCTTGCGGCAAAGTCTCGGCGTGGCAGCTGGCCTTGGAGGAGCTTGGAGAGTTCTTGCACTGCCCACAAAGAATACCACAGTAGAGGTAGGATTTGATAGCTGATAGCTTGTGTATATATATATATATATGTATATTGTCGAATCTCCAGGTCACATGTTGCTCAACCAGGCTGTTCGTGCATTCCAATCTGTGCACTTGCCACCGGCCCAAATCAGGGGTGGGAGCGGTGAGGTTCGTTGAGCCATGAGCTGTTGAGGAAAACAGCGCGGCCGGGCTACGAGGGAAGGGTGTGGACACCCACTATCATACCGGAAAACGTATTTGGTGGATTGAGGACAATCCTGGTTGTTGAACAGTGAGGAAAGCATTTTGGTGAGGACACCAACC